AACATGAATCAAATATGTACTTTTATTCATTTACAATAAACTCATAATGTACATCATTCTGATTGAAGCTAAGGGCATACAAAACTGTCTAACAATTTGGACCCAACTCCAAAGCTCGGCACACCATGGTCGAGCATCACCATGGCACAGAAGCTCAACTTCCACTTGGAATCAGAGCAGTTCCTTGGCTCCACCAGGAGGACGGACTTGAAAGCTCAGTTTGACACCTCGGCTTTCTACCAAGCTACGCAACCATGTAACACTTCAGACTAGGCACTCCCCCTCCTCGGCTCCAGAACTAGGGGAGTGGTGTTCGGATTCCGGAGTCAGAGCTCTTAGAGTTCTGCAGCCGACGATGGGAAGATTCCTCGGCCACGTTCCATATTGCCCAGTTTTCAAGATTGTGACAAGCGTCGAGGAACACCAAAGAGGCCAGACGCTCATCTAGACATCAATTTGGAAGTTCCTTAGCCGAAGAACGAATTGGACTACTTCATTCCTCGACTTCAGAATTGGGGGAGTGGTGTTTGGGTCATGGTTGAGCTGACCCTACGAGACACGTGACCACCCAGCTATCGCCCTGCCACGTCATCCTAGCTCAGCCACGTCGGCATATCTCGGCTGAGCTACGCTATTACTGTAGCCCCCCATCTTATCCTTCCAACCATGTCAACTACATGTCATATGGATGAGCACAACTATGGATAAGCAGGAATAAGGAAGATGACTCCACTGGGGAACGAGACTCTATCCCGAAAACCTCGGCGGATAACCTCATCCCGACCACCCCGAAAGCCCAATCCGACCAGGACACGGATCTTCGGCTATAAATAGGTACTCCTTGCTCGAGGTAAGGGATCCAACTTCTAACACCCGTATTGCTACTTAGCTCGGACCAACATCCTTATAGCTCGGCCCGACCATCTACCACTACTCCCTACTGACTTGAGCGTCGGAGTACTTACCCGAGGATAACTCCTCGGCCCTCTAACTTCTTCTTCCTTGATCATAGGTCTTGAAGCGCGGCCTCGTCCTTGTAGCTCGACCCCGCCCTGCCAGTAAGGAACTATTTGGTTGCTCTCCTCAATTCGTGCACCACCTCGAATTGAGCAGCATCAGTAATGTTGTTGTTGTTGCTGTCCATGAGCTTGTTATGAACTGAAACCAACAACTACTGTAACGAAAACAAGAGTGAGGTGGGGAAGGAGGAGAGTGTCGTTTGACCTAGCCTAGTTCTCTCTTCCTTTCCATTTTGGTTAGATGTGGGCTTACCATCTAGAGGTAGACAACGAACGATGTCTTCATTATTCAAGAATCTCAAACACCTCAACCGGTTCAATCTCAACTTGAGATTCTCAAGGAAGAAGACAATGAATAATGTCTTTTTTTGAAGGGTGGCTTTGATATTTTCAAAAATTTTATGTTGCATATGTTATCACGTGATCAAATAACTAACAATTGGTTGACGGCATGGACCAACTTGACACTTTGAAAGTTTGGGTACTGTAATGACACATTTGAAAGTTCGAGTACTAACTTGACACTATCCCCAAATTTCATGGTACTAAAGTGGAATTTTCCCTTTATTGATTTTAAATTTCATTCGTTTTCAAAGTTAATGACATAATGACAAAATTATCCTTCATTTTTTGTATATTAATAAGGGAAAATTCCGGATTGGTACTTGTACTTTGGGCCTAGTGTCATTTTGGTCCCTRAATTTTAAAATGTGACAATTTAGTATCCAAACTTTCAAAACATGTCAATCCAGTACTTGCCATTAAGTGGCATTTTAAAGACACAAATACCCTTCAAGTGTCATCTAATCTTCTTTATAAACCATCTAAATGTTGACAAAAAATTTACGGTCACAAATCTTTGCCTCTTTTATTCAAGAAAATTGAGGTCATGTATCAATGGGCATTTTGGTCACCCCAACTTTTTTAAACAAAAAAGACAATGATTTGAGACTATTAATTTTTTCACTGTTTGGATGATTGATAAAAAAATTAGATGACATTCAAGGGCATTTATATCTTTTTCAAACGACACTTAAGGGCTGATCAACAAGTAGTGGTACTGGATTGACACATTTAGGTTCGAATACTAAATTATCTCATTTTAAAATTCTATAAACAAAGTGACACTAGACCCAAATTACAGGTACTATTGTGGAATTTCCCCATAAATAAATATAGGTTTTTCAGTTAGTTTTCTACTGTAATGTGAAAAAAGCCCAGCGAATCACGGTTTCACGTAGATTCTTCTTCGTTTTCCCTGAGGAGGTGTTCTGGTTCGAAAACTTGTCATCCTCCTCTTGGAAAACATCTATCACTATCTGTGTCTCTGAGCTTTTGTTTATAATGGCTTCTGATAACTATACCGCCAAAAACGCTGTTTTCAGAAAGCTGAAGGCCAAGTCGGAGAATAAGGTCTGTTTCTGAACTTTAACTTTCTCCATTTTTCTTTTGGTTGAAATTGGTTGGTGTTCTCGAGATCCAGTTAGGGGGCCTTAGATCTGAACGCTATCTGATTAGATCTTACTAATGATTTAATTCCGTTTTGTTGTGAAGATGTGTTTCGATTGTAATGCGAAGAATCCGACCTGGGCGTCTGTTACGTATGGGATCTTTCTCTGCATCGATTGCTCCGCGGTTCATCGTAGCCTCGGTGTTCACATCAGCTTTGTGAGGTAACTCACTTGAGAAGTTAGGGCCTTTTGAATTCGGAAAAAGTTTTAGGGTTTTTCATAATTTTTTGGTTGATTTGGTCGAGGAATGCTGTTCACGGGATGGTACATGAGTTGAATGTGTTCGAATCACCTGGCACTAGTTGCATGAATTGGAAATTTGTTTCCTTTTTTCTTGATCATGAATTGGGAATTTATTTTCAGCACATCTTTTACATATAGAGTATTGAACCAGATCAATAGTTTGGAAGACATTTTCTTTAGGCAAAAGGGGGACGTGGATTAGTTATTGGGTTACTCTTACGATAAGGTTCTTTTTTCTTCTTTATTTTCTTTTAACTTGGAGGTCCCAAAGGTTCGCCAAGATGTATAGATGCCCTAATTTTTCTTCTGATAGGTATAATTTGCTACAGGGGAAGATTTTTAAAAGATATTTACCTTTTGATCATGGTGGGATAAATTAAGAGGAGATGCGTTTGAAGTGTTGTAATCAAATTGAAGGGAAAAGTTATGGGTTTTCCATAAGTTCTGATATCCCATATGGGGAAAATTGTTTGGACCATAAATAGAAGAGCAAATGTAGAAAGAGTCTAGCCAGGATGAGGATGTTGGGACGAGTAAATGGAAGGGAAAGAAAGCAAAAGTTCAGAAATAAGTGTATTCTTTTGTCGATAATGAGAGATCAATTAAATGTAATAAAATGGTAAATGCATGGTATTCCTATATTCACATAGTTTCAATACAAAGTAATGGAGTAGATACATGTTATAAATACCTTGAATGAAAGTAATTTTTCGTCGTCTTATTCCAATTAATTGCCTGAGCAACCAAACAAGATAAAATGTGATTTTGTGAAGAAATAACTCTCCTTATGTTCTATTGACTAAAAAAAAAAAAGAAAGAAAAACAAAATTACAGCTTCAGTGTTTGGCAACCTTACCTACAAGCCAAAATACAAATGAAAGATACAAATCAATCAAATATGTAAAAGGAAGATTCAGAAAAACATTATTCTCACCTTTCTTCTAGAAACCCCACAATCATTTTTTTCTTTTCCCCTAATCAGTGGAACAACTCAATCATTTTCCTCTCTCTTCTAGGGAGTTGAAAAAAAAAAAAGAGAACATTTACTCTTTTCTTTGGTAGGTTTTGTAAATGGCCAGAACTTTTTTCATCAACAATATCCAGGACCTTGGAAATGCAGGGTGGGCAATCGACAATAAGGATGCATCTTGGAAATGAAGATATGTCCTAAGAGAAATACAAGGACTAATAGATAAGCTGAGTTCAAACATGAAATAGGTACCACATGCTGCCAGTGGTTTGGCAGACAGTTTGGCAAAGCAAAGAGATCAAATGTACTGGGATCAAGTAACTCTGGTACAAGCATGAAGGTGCAAAGTAATGAGTTTAAGGGTATTGCTTCAAGTGATGTGGCTCTCCAGCAATTAGTAGACAGAGAGGTGACGATCAGAAAAAGTTTGGGTCTCTGTTTTTTGGGTGGTGAAGAGTTTGCTAGAAGGGCCTTTGAGGAGTTTGAAAGGAGAAAAGGGAAGAGAAGTTAAGGAAGAAAGCTCTGGTGAAAGGAGGCAAAGTTTGGGACGAGGAATTTTCAGATCAGGAGGATGAAATTGTGGATGAAGATTGAGCCTCTCCGCCAGGTTTTTAGCTCGAGTCTGGTTTAGTTTTTGAGTCTGTGGTATGTAAGTTGCATGTTTGTTTTTTCAGGTGTTGTTAAAGGGGTCCGGTCATTTGTTTGTTGGGTCATTTAATTGTTCTCTCCTTTCGGATGATATCTTATCATCTTCCTGCTGTATTTCTTTTTCCTTTTAATAAAATTTTCCTTTTGACTCTTTAAAAAAAAAAAAAAAACTCTAGGGGAATAGTAATTGTATGCCTGAGAAGGCTAACCTCCTTCATGGGGCTCATATGAAAATATTGTAATCATTTTTATACAATGATGAAATAAGTGACTGTTATTTATCCCAAAAAAAAACTCTAGGACCTTTTTGTATACTTCGGCTCATTTTGCATTGGTTGGTCCACACTTCGATGCTGCTTTCTAATCTGCTTGGTTCTTAACTCTTAAGGTACCAGTGTAAATTTCAGTATTTCTTTCATCAACCAATCTCCACTAGTATTTGCATGTATTGCAGCAGTAAATGATTTCTCCAGGGGTTTCTCTTCAAGTAATGCTGGGTTAAGGAAATTGTTTCATTTCACTCTAGGTCAACAAATCTTGATTCATGGACTCCAGAGCAGTTAAAGATGATGAGTTTTGGAGGGAACAACCGTGCACAAGTGTTCTTTAAGCAGCATGGTTGGACTGATGGAGGCAAAATTGAGGCTAAGTATACTTCAAGAGCTGCAGATCTATACAGACAACTACTTTCAAAAGAAGTTGCTAAAAGCATGGCTGAGGAAGCTGGTTTGCCATCATCTCCTGTTGCTTCTCAGTCAGCTCCTGCATCTAACGGACTGCCTGATGCCAAGGTTGTTGAAGCCCCAAAAGGAAATTCTTGTGAAAAGCATGAACCTCCTGAGGCGACTGCAGCACCCAAAGTTCCTACTAGTACAGTTGTTACCACAACAATTAAGAAGCCCCTTGGTGCAAAGAAGACTGGAAAGACTGGAGGCTTGGGGGTCCGAAAGCTTACTACAAAGGTGCCTTCATGTCTTTACCCATATGAATAAATTTCAATTCTTGAAATGTAAGTTGATGGTTTGTTTATTTCACATCATGTATAAGAAAAGAACACATTCTTAAATACAGCCAAGTGAAAGTCTCTATGAGCAAAAGCCTGAAGAACCCACTCCTGCAGTTGCTACCTCTCCTAGTGCTACCAGTGTATCTTCATCATCTTTTCCTTCTCGCTTTGAGTATGTAGAGAATGTCCAATCAGCTGATGACAGTTCTGGAAGCACACAAGTGATTAGTCATGTTGCCCTTCCCAAGACATCAACTTTTTTTGCTGAGTATGGAATGGATAGCAGATTTCAGAAGAAAGGAATCTCCAGCTTTTCAAAAGTCCAGGCAAGTTTTAAAGGTTTCTTTCGCTATATTTGTGCTTTTACGTAAATGAGAAACTATAACTGAGAAATTATAATTTTAACTTATACAAATATAACTAAATGACACCCTCAAGTGATGATAATTCCAACTTAAATAATGATTTCTCTTACAAGTTTGAGATAACCTACTCTTGTCACTAGGAAATTTTGAGTTTTGTGCATGTATATTGAAGATAAAAATATTGACTTACTGAATTTAGGTTCTTATTCAAGTCCCTTTGCTTGTGCACTGTATATTATTTAATATCATGGATTTATTGGTTATGCCTGCATGTTTCTGATTCTTGAACCTGATTTTTGTTTCAAGGCAATAAGTTGTGAATTATTTTTGACCTTTTAACCATTTTATAGGAGGCCTTGTAAGCTTACCACAGAGGAACAGAAGGGAACAACTAAATCAATTTATATTGATAAGTTCCAGAGTATGACATCTTTGCTTGGATGGAATACAAACTTGAAATGTCCTTAAGGTTTTTTCAAAAATAGGGAGTAATTTTAAAATGAGTATTACAAAATATAATGTACTAGATTAAGCTTGGTACTTAAGATTGTTAATTATTCAGAATTCTACATCTAGACAAATTTTATAGATTCTCAGTGGTAATATATGTATTTGTAGGTGATGCTGCATATGTATGAGATCTCTTGAAATCAACCTGTGGTGGGTTGAGTAGTAGGAAAATAAGGTTCATATCTAAACAGATGAAAGGTAAAGGGGTTGGATGGTTGTTGCTGCAATTTGATAACTTAAATACTGAAATTTCTGGACAGCAACTAGAATAATTAGAAAAATTTTATTGGAGACAAAAGGTAAACAGTAGCATAAATATGTAGCAAAGAATACTTTCAGCAAGGAAAACAAGTAAAGAAATGGACAGGAAAAGGGGGAGGGGAGCAGGGAGTGTAAATTCTGTTCCACTCTTTTCATTGTGAACATGGTTTTCAAGGCAACCACGGCAAGGCTAGGTGACAGATTGACTGTTAAATCCAGTCAATCTGTTTATTCCAGAACCATGTAAACCCTTCAAACAGGAAAAACAAGAAAAGACCAGCTCTAGTTGACATTATTCAGAAAAGATGCTGGTCAAGGAGCAGTTGATGAATGGGGGTGAAGCAATTTTAATGAATATGATACAAATCTTCATGGTATCTTATGGATAAGTCCAATCCAGGGATCCAGTAGCTAGTATTATTCCTTGTGTGAACAGACCAACATTTTGAATTTTGATTATGCATGGATGCACCTATGCTGGTCAAGGTTGCAGGACTATGGATTGTTAACTTTGGAGTTTGGAGATAACACCGATGCTTGTAGATAGGGCCACAGCAGAGCCCTAAAATGGAGAATTCTTTTCATGGATTTGAAAAGCTGAGAATGCACTTGTATTGATCCTGGTGATTATTGCAATTAACTCTGCTTACAGTGAAGATGCCCAGGTATAAATCTTACATTCAGGATCTATGAAGTATAAACTATCTGACCTACTAGGGAAGGATAGTGGTATTTGATCAGTTCTTGTCATCACACTTTTTCTTTACACAGATGGTAGTGAGAGGCTATTAATAACAACTTTTTTTTTTATTATCGAGGCTATTAATAACATTTTGGAAGCAACAATTGACCATTACATGGAGATTAAATCAGAAATTGAAGGTCATGTTCGTTAAGGAGCAAGGTGGGTCAACTTGCTCCTTGATGAACATTTGTCTATGATGATCCTCTCCTTGATGAAGATTGATCAATTTCACTGCATAAGTTATGGTAATAAGTTTTTTCACCATGGTAGAGGAAGGGGAAGAGGTAATAGGGATCAAAGGCAATATTATTTCCTTAGAGGTTTTGGTGGGTGCATGCCATCACAGAAGATTGAGAAATTGTGATATTGAATTGATTTTTTCTTTTGTGGTTGTTGGCTGGTTGCCAATTCTATTGGTCTGGTCTGGATTTTACTGATGATTAAGGAATACCTCAAAGTTGAGATCACATGACTTTGTTATTTTGATTTTATCCATCTTAGTTTTGCTGTGCACTGATGAATGGTGATTGCTTTGAATGATTGATAGTTGCTGCTTGGTGGTCTGCTTTTTTGCTTCTATATTGCCCTCTTTTTAATTATCCTTCAATCTGAGCTTATCTTGAGTTGATGTGGGGTGGGGTTTTTCCTTTATTCTCCTTTTCTTTAGTTTTAATTTTCTTTTTACCAATCAACCAAAAAAGTACTGGTAAAAAAACAATCAACTATAAAAGTAGAGAAGGGGTGGGGTGAAGGAAGAACTGAGATCTAGAAAGCATTTCATATGGTTAAGAATTGATTTATTTCATGATTAGTCATGATACAGTCTACCTCAGAAGAGTATATCTTTATTGCACAAATACACTGACATATTATTCTGTTTATTTATTCAGATAGTAAGTGATCACGTATCTAATAAAAAAGTTTACTTGTGTTAACGGAAAAAAGTATGAGCAGGAGCTATTTATGGGGTTAAAGGTGTAGAAAATATAACTATCATGATCTTATCTACCCATGGTGTATATTACAGTGGACTAAAAAAAACGAACAAGTCACCTCCTCGAAATCTTTGCAGACTGAATGACTGATATCCATGAACAAGCTGTAAATGAGCCAAGCCTGAATTGGTTCTATAGAGTTCACTGTGCCTAATCATCTTGATTTTGTTTTGGTTAGTTTTATTCATTTTCTTGTTCAGTATTTAGGTCCTGTACTTACATCTCGTGGTCATTAGATTGAAGAAACTGATGAAGCAAGGAAAAAGTTCTCAAATGCCAAGTCTATTTCATCAGCCCAATTTTTTGGGGATCAAAACAAAGCAAGCGAAATGGAAGCTCAAGTCTCATTGCAGAAGTTTTCGGTATGTGTATTCTCTGATATGTAATTTCTTGTTGGAAGAAGCAACTTGTTGACTGTAACCATGAATATAATATTTGTTACAGACTATTCTTCTCTTTAGAATCTCGTATGATATATTTTGGTGGAGATTGGTTAAATTGGTTGACATTTTCTCAAGGATGTCTGACTGTAATCATGCATCACTTTTGTAGAGCTCAACAGCTATCTCTAGTACTGATCTCTTCGGTAACAAAGTAGATGATTCTCAACTTGACCTAATAGCAGCTGACCTCATCAACAAGCTCTCTTTCCAGGTAACTGTTGCTCCCTCATGTCTGCTTGCTGTTGATGAACTGGAGGTTTTGCTCTCCAAATCAGATTCACTGTGATGATGAGAATGTTCTTAATGTTCAAGAAAATTACAATGTTATTTATTTATTTTCTTAATCAAGTTACTTTTTTTTGGTGGAATAATCAAGTTACTTGGGTTTTAAAACTATGCTTGTTTTGGCTTAATATTTTCCTTTTCTTCCCAGGCATCACAAGACATATCTTCCCTTAAGAATATTGCAGGAGAGACAGGGAAGAAGCTCACTTCTATGGCTTCTAGTTTTATATCAGATCTTCAGGATAGAATCCTCTGATGAATGACTTGTTATTGCCATCATCATCATCATCACCATTAGGATACTGGTGTGTGCATGTTCAGGAATGTCCGAAGAACTTATTACAAGTATCAGAATGTAGTGAATGTTAAAAGAGTAAACTGCAAATTCTTTCAGAGAGAAAAATAAGATTTAAATTTTGCTGCCTCCTGGGTTGTTATTGGCTTTTCTTGTGGTCAGAGAGCAGTGTTTTAAGTGAACTGCAGAAACATTTCCGCTCTTATATGTTACTAGTTTGTATTTAAAATGGGGAAGTGCAATCTCTTACAGTTTGCATCTTTGGACGATCTTAGTCTGGCACAAGACATGTATTACCTTATTTAGGATAGACCAGTAAGACGTTTTTGAGACGGTCTTGTCTGTTATATGGACCAAGTTAATACAAATTTCTTGACATTATTACAATGCTTTAGAGTTTAGACTTCGCAGCCACAACACTGGTAATTTGATTCTGTATTTTAGAATTGAGCGTAAGGGTCACTGAACAATTCCTATATTGTCTGTGGTGGATGTCGAACAAAAATGGGTATATGGTGTTCTTTTATCAAATATTATCAAAATATTCCAGTGTGCATTTTCACTTTGCACAGGGGAGACAGGAATTAGATCAGAACTTTGTTCTTGTAGATTTGCCCTAAACTAGATAATGAGATTGCACACAACGGAAACGGCCCAAAATTCATAGGGTAATGCAGCAAATTTGCAAATGTGATCAACATAGCAATGTTTTAAAAACTGGCCCAGATGTTGAACCATTTTTGCCTGAGTCGTGGGTCACCAGTTCAACTGTCTGGGTTGAATGGATCAACCAAGGTCATGTTAGAGCTCTCTCTGTCTTTTTCACAAAAATAGTGGCACAGGAGTTTATATCTGCGCCCCACAATGCCCCACAGCACATCTTCACCTTGTATTGAGAACATTTCCCGATAACAGGAGATGATGAGACATCAATGGGAGATGTTCCCAATACAAGGTGGAGATGTGCTGTGGGGCATGGTCAGGCACAGATGTGAACTCAACACAGATCTCAAAAGGTTATCTAAGATTAAAAAAAATACTATCATAATCAAAAATCAAAGTGCAAAGTTATGGGCTCTAAAAGCTTGCATACACATTTAGTGTGCAACCCATAACTCAATCACCAAGTTGAACAAATCAACAATCCAACCACCCAAGTCAGGCACTAAACATAACTGCCTTTGAAAAATTTTGGAGCACTTAAATTATCCCATTCAAGGTTCAAAATATCAACATGTATCAGCCCATATCAGCCAATACGTATCGGCCCGTATCATTTTCATTTTTTCATTATTTAACAATATCTTTTGATTGTTACTTGTAATGCTTCTCCTTCATTCTTGCCAGTTTGTTATTTTTTTACCTTTTGTAAGATATAATGCAAATTGCAGATTATTCAAGTTTTTGGCTTGTTTTCAAAATTCATCATAGATACATAAAAAAAAGGAAGAAAAAATCAAAAGAACAATAATGTTTTAACTATTAATCCATCGAAGTGTGACCACTTGTGTGCGGAGTGCTGATGTCGAATCCAATCTACCCAACCCGAAAGAGACCAGACCTATCAGTCCAGAAGGATTTCTTCTCGTCGATTAGCCAGTCTCACCGTTGAGCCTTGACATGACAATGCAAATTTGCGATGCACCATCAGAACTGTGGACTGCAAATACTGACTACCATTTTCTCACATAATTTGAATAACTCAAAATTGTCCAAAATAGAGCTATCATATCCTGGTCTCAGAATCTGACTTTAACCAACCAAAAACCCATTATGATGTAACATCAGTTTTGGAAAGGGCAGGTATTTTGTAACTGCGCATAATCTTAAAAATTGGAGACATGCACAGACGGCAACAGGGACAACACTATACAGATGCAAAAATAACTACCCACAATTTCTACAACCCATGGAGGGAAAACAAAAACAGAACCTGCAGCAGATATAACAGCCTTTCACTAGGCATCTTGGGTTAGTTGAGAAACTGAATTATCGACCTTTACTTGGATATGTTGTCTAGCGAAAATCCCCAGCTGTAACAGCACGCGTGATAGATTGGGGGCTGAGCTTCCTATAAGTAGTCCTATTGGCATCCCTATCTCGGTGATCTTCCCAACGTGACACTGTCCGTCTCCTTTTCCTGTCCAAAGAACCATCACTGCGGGATGTCTGTAAAGCAGCCATTAATCCATTTCTCCGTGAACTAGGCATTGTTTTGGTCAGTTTAACTAGCTGCTTCTTCTTAAACTCCTCCAGAGCATTGTTCCCAGGCCTTGTACAAGGTAGCCTTTCCTCTGATCTCAGATGGGCACGTGGAATACTGTAGCTCTTTTCTGCCAAAAAAAAAACGACACCTTCAATTTGTTATTGTTATTTTTTTTTGCCTTACCAATATGCAATTGTAAGTAGAAGTATAAAAAAATATCAAGGCATGGATGGATATCTCAACCTGAAGGACCATCTGAGTATATATCAGGGCTAGGAGATCTAGGAGGTGGCGTTTGAGGACAGACACCAACATTATTTCTGCTTTCCTCAGGCTTGCTACAGCAATTATGGTCTTGACATGGATAAGATKTTCTTTCCTCATCATCATTAGCTGCATCAAACACAGTGAAGCTACTTGCTCCAGGAGGAAGAGTATTAGAAACTTTACCCACATCATCTCTAGCTCCATTTGCCTCTCTACAACTATTTTCCTTGAGAGGAAGTGGAATACACACCCTCTCTACATCTAGAACAGACTTCGGGGAAGTAGAGGGACTGTTTGTATTCATGCATGGTTTCAGTGTTTCCATTAAACTTGAAAACCAGGGTGAACCATGCCTTGCATAGAATAGAATGTAGGCCTCTTGAGCAAGGACAAACTCCTGTGTAACTCTCATCACCTACAAAACACAGAAGACTTTTTCAAAATCAGTTTCAGGAAAAAGATATGACATAATAAAATCTCAACTAAATCTATTAGTATATTGATATAGTTATTCAGTACCCCAAATTAGTACTTCCAGTGAGTCTTACTCACAGGGTTCTAAAATCCTAGTACATCATGCACATTTAAAAAAGATCTTAGGCTCAGTTTGGAAGGAGTACAAATACAAATATGTAAAGTGCCAAACCTTGTATTTTGTATTACTTTGCATGTATTTGTACTATACATATTTGCATTGGTACTCTTTCCAAACTGAGCCTCAATTCCTCTTTACTAAGTTATAAATAGAAAAATGCTAATCCTACCCTAGCAAGTAAAATTAGAGATGCATTCTCACCATTGCCTTTACAGACTTTTAATTACCAAACACCAATATGAAAAGACACCGCCCTTGACATTGAAATGTGCAAAAAAAAAACAATGGCGAAAGTAGATTCTAATCATACTCAGGAGGATACAATTAGCATACAATAGAACAACTAAGCCTTAACCCCGATTATTTGGAGTTGGTTACATGAATCCAGTCCTAAAATTCAGCTTCATCAAGAGCCATGTTTTCTGTCAAATTGTGAGTCCTCAAATCACAAGAATATAATTAGCATCCCTCTTAGAAATTATTACCTTTGAATCATCCAACCTGTGCCATGTGTGTGGAGAGGAACGAATGAAGCAGTAATAATGTCCAGACCAAGGTGTAAATCCAATATGCACTACAACTGCATATAATTCATACTTTAAATTAACCTGTCAAAAATGGCATAAACATAAAAGCTTATTTATCCATGTAGTGGAAAAAAAGTAAAGGAGGATGAAAGGTACCATTTAGTATAAAGTTCTCTACAGCCTACAAGCCAAATAGTATAACACATGAACCATGTGCAGAGGATATGCACCAATTGGATTTTTATTTTCCAACAGAGATGTTCAATAGATAGGATAGGATGGACATGATCATCCAACTAGGCCATCAATAGACCTGTTCATGGGCCAGGTGGCCCGACGGGCCGGCCCGGCCCCCAGATGGGCTTGAACATGTTTATAGGCCCGCGGGCTTAAATTCAGGCCAAAAAGCCCGGCCCAMAATAAATTCGAGCCGGGCTCGGGTTTTGTCAAAATAGCCCGGCCCGAGCCCGGCCCAGCCCGACCTAAAATTAGACTTAAAATGGGTTATGTGATTATGTCCATTTGAATAAATTTTTTGATTTAAGAATGTAAAACTGTGTTTTAAAACGTAAAAGAAAGGGAAAAAAACCATCTTGTAGGCCCATTGTTCATTTAAATTAGAAAAAAAATCATCTGAATTTTTAATTCTAATTTGAATAGGGAAAATTGTAATTTTTTTTATTAGGTCGGGCTTCAGGCTCGGGCTTTGGGCTTTTTATTAGGGCCGGGCTCGGGCCCAAGTTAGAGGGCCATTGGTCAGGCCGGGCTCGAGCTCGGGCTCGGGCCTAGCGTATTTCCATTAATGATGAGTAAAAGCCCGGCCCGAGCCCATGAACAGGTCTAGCCATCAAATGGTAGGGTTTAAGAACCATCCACATCCCTTTCTACTGCTATAGTCTATGTTTCACCGTTCTCATACAAGATTATGTTGAAAATATTTCAATAATATTGAAGTGGGTGGCTGGACATCTAGAAACTTACATTATTCTTTTGATCACAGCCAGTGTAGGGATGCAAGTCCAGTTCCAATGGGTACTCCACATGCTTGTCAATCTTCTCAACATATGAACCATCATTCTTAAATCTCTTCAAATGAAATGCCGCAACTAAGGGGGCTTGGTCCAGGGTAAGCTGCTTCTCTACTGATACTTTCTGCTTGCAGTTTTCACAGGTGAATCTTGTCTCTGGATCTTCAATGTTTTCAACCTTTGTAAAAGATTGCAAAGCATTTGGTAGTGTATCTACATCATCAATCTCCAAACTTAGATCGATCAGGGGCTCAAAAGTGTCTGAACGGTGACTACAGTTGCAACATCGAAGCTGAAGTTTTCACAAAAAAATAATAAAAATGGCAATCCAAAGGAAAGGCATTACTCAATTTTAGACAAAAAAAAAACACAAATTCCACAAGTGGGAATAGAGCTACTTATGATCTAAACGCTAAGGTAAGTAAAGGACCATTACCCAATGTTAGTCCCTGATATCTGAAGCTTTGGGAGGGGTAGACTAGATATGGACCTAACTTTTGGGGATAAAGTTATTTATCATCTAAGCTTTAAGGCAAGTAAATAACTCAAAAACCCCAAATTGAGGCAAGAAGCTACTATAAAGGGGAGGACTGGGTGTCCCGTTTCAACTCATACCTGACTTTTTAGACGACCACCAAAAATCTGCTTAACAAAAGTAACCTCTTGCGAAGATAAATTTTGATTTTGCAAGGTAGGATCCAAACAGCAGCTGTCAAGCCTATCCAGCAAGCATTGTAGAAATTCATGGGCATCCTCCTGCTCAAATCTCCGGAAAGAGGAAGATAAATCTGGATGATTCCAGGTCAAGAATCACAAACTCAGAATAGAAAGGTTTTTTAACAAAATTTGGCATATTATGACATCATATAAAATTATTCAAATAAAATTGGGTTTGCAAAAGAGGGAGATATACAAATTTATTAGCAAACACAACAATCCAGCATGGCATGAAATTAACAACAATTAAATGATGGTTCAAACTCAAAACTAGCAGCATGATAACAAGATCAAAGTTAATGTCATGTTATTAATACTCCAAATGAAGAATATCAAACTAAAGCTGGATTAGAGCCCGATGGGGAATAAAGAGAAAATGCAAGCTCAGGAAACCGTAAAGATAAGTAGAAAAGGATACAGCTCAAATTGTCCACCAATTTTGAGGGCGAGATAATCCGTCCAGATGAAGCCAAGGAGAGCTCAACGTGGTCACGGAGAGCACATAAAACACAAAACTCTTTACTCCCGCCTGCAATTTCACCAATTTTCCAGTCAGATACCCCAAATCACAACAAACTATAAACAGAGAATAACATTAGGCAGAGTAATTACGCTCGCATGGAGTTGCATGATTGCATGAACGAAGACCCTGCACGAGTGGGACCGTGTGGGTGAAACATTGAAGAATTGCATTGAGAAAGCAAGTGTTCCCGAGATTTTCGAGACCCGCACCCTGGAAGGGACAAACCATACAAAAGATTACCCAAATTAGGAAGAAAACTGAGAAGATGGAAGCAAATTATGCAACAAACGAAAAAACAACACACCATCATAGAAACTTCTCCATAGGAAGATAGGGAGTAAGAAGGGTCAGAGTAAGCAAAGGGCCTCTTGGGAGACAAAGGTCCGATGTCCGCAAAAGAATTGGGAAGCGAAGATGGTGAGGCATCACCTGAAGCATTAACAAGAACCGACGAATCAGTATCTAGGGTTTGCGCCTGAGGACGCAGAGGCGAAGAAGGCAATGTAACATCATCTAGGGTTTCTTGATGGGAAAGCGGAGGCGGAGAAGGCAATGCAACATCATCTAGGGTTTCGGCCGTAGGAGGAGAGGAAAAAAGGTGGCCGTCATCTAGGGATTTTGAGGGCCCGGACTCCATGGAGATGCAGTAGTAGGCGGGGAAGAAGATGAAGAAGAAGAAGATGGGTAGAGCTTAGAAGAGATCGTGGTGGCTGGTGGGGTTGAAGAAGTGGTGGTGGGTTTGTTGTAGGGCTTTGGCATTGAGGAGAAGAGAAGTTTCCATTTTATGGTCAAGGTTTTGAAAAGGGAGGGAAAACTCGTTAACCGCCATTTGTTTTTGTTTTTGGGGTTTCTGTTTTGGCTCTCTAACTAAAATCTGAATTTCTGAAAAGGAGCGAATCGAATCAGTGAGAGAGAAACTGTGAGAGAGAGAGAGAGAGAATGTGAGAGTTTCAAGTTTTAACTGCTTCGCTTTCGTAGTTTCTACTTTCTACTTTCTACCATCTACTGTCTTGTGGTTGACTGGTTGCGCTTGCGAGGCAAATGTGAAATCACCGTGAGCTTGGGTCGATCCCGGTCCATCTGTTGAACGGTCTAGCGGTCGGGGCTAAAGGGCGGTCAGAACAGGTTCCCTTAATTTTTTTAATTTGTCATGTTTTTTCCATGTGGAGGGAATGCGGGATAATGAAGCCAATCAGAACTGTCCACCACCACCAAGTGGGGACGCTTTGTAAATTATAATTTGTAATGTAAAAGCACATCATCCAAAGGAGGCTATAGCTAGCCACACTAAATCATAACTCTTTAGGACTTTCAAAGATATGCTACACCAATGTTGCACCAAATCATAACTCTTTAGGACTGTCTAAGAAAAGGCGATGACTGGAGGGAGAGTTTCGGATTTGCTCGACTCCAGAGCGCGTCTCACACCAACTACACAGCAAATCGCAGCAATATATTGGGAACATCTTGGATGACAAAACCAAGTGTACGATGTGTTTGGTTGCAATGTAAATAAATTTACACTGATCCAAAACTATGATAGTGTAAATTATAATTTATTTTTGTTTTAAATTTTAACTTATTTTGTTTGATTGTAGTATAAATGAAGTAAATTAAGACATGATGCAGAATAAAGTAAAACCCAAAACAAAATTAAACGAGAGTTTGCATTCTTTTCATTTGTATTCCCAGACCGTCCTGATTGGGACGGTCAAGGACACTCAAGGTGCAAGACTTTGCATTGCACATATTCACCTCCTCAAACCGTCCCCCTTCTTGCCCCAATGCATACTACGGCTGAGGACCCCAAAATGCACCGGTCAGACAAGGACAGGGTGCGACTTGATCAAGAAAAGCAACAAACTTCAAGAAGATCGAGCTCATCAACTTGGTCACGCGAACATGACAACCGCAGCAGAACTCATCAGTTTGCTCGGATTCCAACAAAGGAAAGGCTCGACAAATGGATGTAGCAACCAGTCTTTGTCACGAGTCCAGCTCAGTCAAAGATTGCCTGGCAGAGCCCAAGAAGGGAAGAGCCACGCCTACTGCAGTTCCAGACGACAGGGACGCAGAGATCCGAGAACTCTAACAGAGGTTGACTGAGTTGGAGAGCAACCAGGCTCAAAAAAGCATGACCCCTCCCATGATCCAACCAATGGATCCAAACAACCAACCCGCCAAGGAGCAGCCCTTCACCCAAGAAATTGTGGACGAGCTCCTCCCGATCGGTTGGTGAGCACTACAGTTTGAGAAGTACAACGAGAATGGAGACCCCAACGATCATCTTGAAGTCTTTAAAGCCCAGATGATGCTACATGACCCGACATGGTACTCCTCCCTTCCTCCGCGCTTTATCTCTTCTTGAGAGCAACTGGAGAACCAGTTTCTGGCCCAGTTCACAACCAGTAAAAAACACTAGAAATTTTTGGCGAGCCTCATGCAAGTGCAGCAAAGGAAGAGAGAGTCTCTCAGGGAGTATCTCACCAGGTTCACCACCGAAGCTTTGCAAGTCTAGTCCTTGAACCAATCAGTGGCATTCATCGCCATCCAACACGGCCTCTGCTCCTCTCCCTTCAACTTCTCCATCTTAAAGAATCCACCTCAAACCGTAGTCGTGCTGATGAACCATGCACAAAAGTACATCAACGCAGAAAAAGCACAAGCACAAAAAAGAGACGAGGAGGAACAACCCGATAGGAAGAGACGAGATCTCAAGGAGCATAAGGTAGAGAGGGCAGACCGGGACAACAAGTGATAGGACCGACAACCAGATTGGAGGCTTAGGGCACCGCCTCTGACCTTCAAGAACTTCACGCCGCTGACTGCACCGCGGTCTGAAATCCTAATGCAAATCCATGATAACAAATATGTCAAGTGGCCCGAGAAGATGTAGACTCAGAGCAACAAGAGGAACTGCGACAAGTACTGCGAGTTCCATCGAGACCACGGACATGACACCGACAACTATCACGACTTGAAGCACCCCCTCGAGGACCTGATTCGGCACAACTACCTTGGGGCATTATCGATATAAAAGAAGATAGGCCGAAAGAAGAACTGCGCCCTAGACCCCCAGGCCAAGCTCCCCCGGCCGGAGTCATTGCAGTGATCTCAAGAGGGATGGCCTTTGGAGGGGAGAGCAACTCAAATCGAAAGAGATGCACGACTGCTCGAGATCAACAACAGAGAACAGAAAAAAAGGCAGGACTCGATCACGTTCACCGAAGACAACCTCAGGGGCGTCCAAACCCCGCATAACGACACCTTGGTGATCATATCCGAGATAGCAAACTATGAAGTTCGGCACATCCTAGTAGACACAGGGAGCTCAGTTGACATCATATTTGAAGAAGCCTTTGATCAGCTCAACATCGGTAGAGATCGCTTCACACCAGTCAACACTCCCCTGATGGGCTTCTCCGAGGAGTCACTCATGCCTACGGGGAGGATCACCTTGCCCCTGTTGATTGGAGATGGTGAGATTACTTCCACGGCAATGGTGGACTTCATCATTGTCCAATGTCTTTCTTCCTACAACGCCACCCTTGGCCGACCGACCTTGAATGCCCTGCGGGCCTCTGTCTCTACATTCCACATTGCCATGAAATTCCTGACCCCATATAGAGTGGGAGTGGCACGTGGAGATTAGAGGGCGGCATGACAATGTTACCTGACGTCTTGTCGAGGAAAGCAACAAACTGTAGAGACGTTAACCACAGAGAACATAGACCTACGAGAAGAGCTGAAGACATAGCATGGCCAGCCCATCGAAGATTTGATACAAGTTCTGCTCTCCAAGGAAGACCCCGAGAAGACAGTCCAGGTCGGATCTCTCCTAGATGATCGTGTTTGGGAAGACCTAGTATAACTGCTGAGGGACCATGCTGATGTGTTCGCTTGGTTGGTAGCGGATATTCCAGGGATCGACCCCAAGGTCATCACCCACCGCTTGAACGCTGACCCATGCTATCGAACAATCGGGGAAAAGAAGAGGAGCTTTGCCGTGGCAGGTGATCAACGAGGAAGTCTAGAAGCTACTCGATTTCGGCTTCACCAGAGAAGTAAAGTACTTGGACTAGCTGGCCAACGTGGTAATGGTGAAGAAGGCTAACGGAAAGTGGAAAATTTGCATCGACTTCACTGACTTGAACAAAGTCTGCCCCAAAGATAGCTTCCCCTGCTGAGGATCGACCAGCTCGTCGACGCAACAACGGGGCATGAACTCCTAAGTTTTATGGATGCATTATCCGGCTACAATCAGATCCAGATGCATCTCGACAATTAGGAGAAGACTGCCTTCATCACAGACCGCGGACTTTATTGTTACAAGGCATAATGCCCTTCGGCCTCAAGAATGTCGGCGCCACTTATCAGTGGCAGGTGAACGAGGTATTTAAGGATCAACTCGGCCGTAATGTTGAAGCATACATCGACGACATGCTGGTGAAGAGCAAGAAAGCCAAGCATCACCTAGCCGACCTAAGAAAAGTCTTCGGCACCCTCAGGAAATATAGGATGGAGCTGAATTTGACCAAATGTGCCTTTGGAGTTGGCTCTGAAAAATTCCTGGGGTTCATGGTTACACAACGAGGAATTGAAGCCAATCCAGAAAAGATCTAGTCCATCCTCAATATGCAGTCACCTCGGACCTATAAAGAAGTGCAACGCCTCACCGGAAGAGTATCCGCCCTTAGCAGGTTCATGTCCAAACCCGTGGGCTGGTGCTTGCCCTTCTTCAAGGCCCTGAAAAAGATCAAAGACTTCTAGTGGACCGAAGAATGTGAACAATCCTTCCAAGAACTGAAGAGGTACCTAAGCCCACCATCTCTCCCCACAAAGCTAAAAGCCCTAGGGGACAAGCTGTTGCTCTACCTCTCGGTTGGAGACGAGGTGGTCAGCTCGGTATTGGTTAAAGAGGAAGTTCGGGTACAAAGGCCGATCTACTACACCAGCAAGGTACTCAACGACACGGATACCCGGTACACAAACTTAGAGAAGGTAGCCCTAGCCCTAGTCACCGTAGCAAGAAAGCTTAGGCCATACTTTCAAGCCCACAATGTTTGAGTACTCACCGACCAACCTCTTAAGCAAGTACTATAGAGACCGGAAGCATTTGGCCGCTTAGTCAAGTGGAGTGTGGAGCTAAGCGAATTCGACATCGAATATGCACCTTGGCCTACCATCAAGGCCCAAGCCCTGGCCGGATTCTTAGCGGAGTGCACCTTCACAACTTAAGATCCGACCCCAACATCGTAGATATGGACTCTCCATGTGGATGGTTCATCCAACAAGCAAGGTAGTGGGGCCGGCCTCCTCCTCTTTAGCCTAGATAACACAGTGCTAGAGCATGATCTCAGGTTCGAGTTCAAGGCCTCCAACCACTAAGTTGAGTACGAAGCTCTAATCGCCGGACTTCGACTTGCCCTAGACCTCGGTGCTCGGCACATCAAAGCCTTCAAAGATTCCCAACTAGTAGTCAATCAGATCTACGACCAGTTCGAGACACGGACTCCGACCATGGAAAGCTACTTACAAAAGGTGCAAGAGCTCATCCAACAACTCGATCACTTCATTATTTAGCAGATCCCTCAAGTTGAGAACATCCGAGCCGATGCACTCTCAAAGTTGGCTAGTTCGCCGCGGACCAAGCTCGACCCAATGGTATGGATGGACGCATTGGCCCAGCTCAGCATAGCACTAATAGCTCTCCTCATCCTTCCTTGTTCAGCAAGGTCGGTCCTGGATGGACCCCATAGTACAGTACTTACAGGATGACACACTACTAGAAGACCGAGCATAAACCAAGAAACTTGCACACAGGTCAGCTCGATATTGCCTTATCTAGGGACAACTCTACCATCAGTCACATACTATTCCCTACCTGAGGTGTCTCCCCCCTTCCGAGGCTGACTATGTTCTCAGGGAGAT